GTGTAGGGTGTAGGGTTTAGGGTTAAACGGCAACCTGGAGTTGGACATTGGAGCTTCTTTCCGGCATGACCAGCTCTCATGGGTCTGAGGGTGGCAAAAGGCCGCGGAACACTTCTACATCTCTAGACGGAATGCTGCAGAATGGAGCGACCAGCTTGCCCTTTAGGCTGCACCCTACTTACACTGCTGCTCGTGACAAGGTCGGCAAGGACACAGCTCTGACACTATCCTCAGCTACGTCTCTCGGCCCCTTCTCATCTCCGTGGATGTGTGATGTGTGGGTGAGGGTGTGGGTGTGGACGGGTTTCGCAGCGGATGTTCGTATTCTGCGTAGCATGCGCACCTGAATGCTGGCGCACATGGCTGCCTGCCTGCCTGCCTGCCTGCCCGGCCGCATAAGGAATGGGCGTGGGCTGTCAGTCTAATGCTTCTGCACGGAGGCGAGACAACTGCTTTCAGCCACTCAGCATCAGGTGACACAACCACCTAAGCGAAGAGGATTTCTGTTTTTGCCACTGAGTAATGCTGTATACTGTATACATCCAAGAGATATACAGCAAGCAAGCAGCATGTGTGCAAGGGTGTTGACTTTTCTCTGACACTCCGCTCGACATTCAAAGAAGCAAACCTTGACCGACCTTCGAAGTGGTTCGGTCTTTGTCGGTGTCCTGTTCCATAAAAACATAAGGAGACATAATAGACATAATCATATTCAGAATATTTTTTTCCGAATCATATTGATAATAAGTGTGTCTGTGCCAATGTAGTCAGAAGCCGCATGCTGCGGGACTTCTTACGGGACATGGATCAACAAGACGCCGAGTTTGAGGGCTCCACGTCAGCAAGACGGAGTTGATTCCTTCGCGGTTTGTGGCATCATGCCGGGTGCTCACCTCGGAGCACAACTCAACCATCTGCAACCGCCATGCAATGCAAATACATCCTCTGCACATAGCTCGAATGCTTGCTTGGTTCGCTTTGCAAACATCAGAAAACTGTGATGTCTGTCGCCTTCGGTTTTTCGCCTTCCACCCTCTCCCAGCCATCTATCGTCTGAACTGATGACGGTAACCATTCCTCTTGCTCGCTTGCAGCTGCAGACTGATCTGGACGATGTACGGAAAGAGTCATGGCACAACACAAGGAGCAACACTTCCCAAAACGCGAACTCGGTGTCTCATTGGTCTGCTTTTGCCGTTTCTACAGGATGGTTTCTGTCGTGATCGCTCGTGAGCTAGTGCTTTCCTGAAGGATAGACTCTAACAGACCTTCTTTTCTTGATGCTGATGTTGACGCTGTAGCGGTAAGGGTTGTGGTGGCCGTATAGACAGACAAGCAGACAGGTAGGCAGGCAGGCAGGAACAAACACACACACACGCACACACATGCTCGGCGTACAGTTGGGCTGTTGATCAGCAGGTCAGGAGCGGGCTAGCTGGCGGCCGGAGCGCACATCGTATAGCCTTGCCTCACGCAAGTTTATAAGCACAATCTGCTCGTGCCGGCACAGTAAACTAACTCGCGCGTGCCCGCCGGGGAATGGAAGCATAAATGCCATGCCAGACTTATGCCGTCTGACAAGACTGGAGCAGGAGCACATTAGTGCATATCGTGTGCCACTTCCTTGCTTCTTCGAAAGTGAACTTGGTGACGCCTGGCATTTAAGTGTGTTCCAGGATACTGCCAGCCCCTGCACGTTCGTACCCTCTTGTGTGGCAGCGCAGAAGTCGCACCTTGCCATCCGCACACCCAGTAGCAATGACATTGGGGCAATCCTTGGCAGCTGAGGCAAACGTCATATACGGGCCTTGAGCCTTAATAGTTAGAATAGGGTTTTCGGGCCCATTATAGTATAAACATAATAAGGACCCCCCCCCAAAAAAAAAATACTACAGGTATTTATTTGTTTAGGCTTCTAGAGTAATTGCTCTCACAGCTTCAACTCGCGCGCAATTCCGAAACCCCAAGCTCGGCGCCAAGAGCTCTTTTCAAGTTATGTTCGAGCCTCAAGTTGGCGTGCCTATCCGACAGTTCCTTCGGAAGTGTCTGGAGGGCATGTCAGCTTGAGGCGAAGCCACCCCTTCGAGTGCTAAACAAAGAGCTGGAGGCGCAATTTCCGGACCCTCCAGGACTTCTTGTCCTAGTGCGCAAGGGCTTTGCCTCTGAATGCCTTGCTTTGGACGTTCCAAGGCGCTATGACGCTATGACTTCTTGCAGATACAGAAGTTTCATGGCAAGGCATTCTCTGCTGCCGCCTGCTCTAATCTACACGCTTCCTGTTTCAGCATGTCACTCACTCAGGCACTGCATGGGCCGCGCTGGCCTTGGGCTCTGCCTTGGCCTTGGGCTCTGCCTTGGCCTTAGGCTCTGCCTTAGCCTTGGGCTCTGCCTTAGCCTTGGGCTCTGCCTGCTGCGCCACGTCTGGCTCAGCCTCCGCCTTGGCACCGCCGAAGACGGAAGCGAAGAAGCCTCAGCCATTCGAGCTCTTGGAGCCAGGAGCTGCGTATGTGCCCTTATCGAGATCCCCTGCCTGGCTCCTCCGGCATGTCTTCTTGAGCCTGCGTGGAGGTCGCAGTGGCAAAATCCTCGTGTGACAACAACACGAGACCAGCCTTGACGTTCCAACGGTGCTCGATCTCTGTGAACTCTTTGGTTTTGTCGGAGGAGTCTTGCATCCCTGAGTGGCAACTGGATGCTTTGTCCAAGCACACATTCCCAGTGTTTCTGAAAGTTGCCGGGACTGAGTTTACTGAATATCTCGCGGTGCCCAAGATGGCACTAAGCAGTGCCTGGACACATGCCCAACCGGCCTGTTGCAGTCATTCCAAACGCGGCAAAAACAAAACAAACATGCTTCAGAACACAGATAGTTTACAAATACGGAGCACGGGGATACAGATCACCGCATGCACAACGAACTACGACCTGCAGGCTGTCCAGCACATACTTTTGCATGGAAGGCATCAAGGTATGTACATCTCATACCGAACCATGACATGTCATATCACACCATACCATACAAAGCAAAAACACCAGAACGACTCTTAGACATACATGTTGCCGCTGTATGTGTGTGTATATATATATATATATATATCTCTCTCTCTCTCTCTCTCTGTCTATCTATCTACCTATCTATATCTATCTATCAATCCATCTATCTGTCTGTATACATATATATATATATATATATGTGGTTGCGCGCTGTGCGTTATGCTACCTCCCTCCCCCTATGGTATCCCCAAATACACGGGTATAGTATGTTTACATATATATATATATAATAGATACTTATATTCGTTTACTTGATGCTCATTCGTTTAGTTGTAAACACATACAAACGCAAACAAACACACACACACACACACCATGTATATACGTACACACACATAAAAAATATATACACAAAACCCACCTGCCTGGCTGCCTGCCTACCCACCCATGTATGTAACAAACACAGCACACGTACCATGAGCAACACGCATAATAAATAACTACCGCATACGTAACAACTATGAAACACAAACAAAGGTACATGCATACATGCGTACGCGCCTACATACCTAACGCAATGCGTACACACGTTAATTTACATTACCTTGCATGATGGTACATTTACATGGTTTGTACTGCATCACATGACCTTACCATACCTACATACATGCATACATAGATACATA